CTTATGAGCACTTATACCAAGCACTCTGCCTCCCTGAACTGCTCTAATTCTCGTCGTGGTCCTGTGAGATGGAGTTGAACTGTCATCCTCACTCTCCCCTTGTTTTTATGACAAGGTCTCACTATGTAGCTCTGGGTGTCTGGGAACTTGCTGTTTAGACCACACTGGCCTTGAACCCATAGAAATCTCCCTGCCTCTGCTTCCCAAGTGTTGGAAGTGAAGGTGTTTGTCACCAAACCTGACTGCCCCATATTTTTTTTTTTCAAGTAGATTGAGCATAGGTTTATTATGGAAAAGAGAGAACTCCCTCGAGTAGGAGGAATAAATACCCTGTTGTCCCCATTTTTAAGATGAGGATTGGGGATCTGGGAGAGAAAAGCACCTTCCTTGCCTGGGGTCTCACATCTCTTAAGAGGCAGACCTGGAAATCAAATTGCAATCTGAGTCCACCTGAGCTTTTGTTTGGTTTGGGTTTGATTTTGTTTTTGAGGGAGGGTTTCTTATTGTCTCCAACCTACCTTATAGCTGAGGATGACCCTGAGCTCCTGGCTCTCCTACCTCCATTCCTGGGTGCTGGGACTGTGTGCATGCACAAGAACAGCCTGGCTCAGAACCTGAGCCTTCCCCACACCTTACCTGGCAGTGCTGCTCCAGCCACAGGCAGGCTTTTCCTCCTGGCGTCCAAGTCCAAGGCTCGCTGTCGGCCCAAAGTGCCCATCTTGTAGAGAAAGATTAGCTCTCCATGTCCAGCCCAGAGGGCAATGAATGCTTGCTGTGGCCTTGTAGGGTTGCCCCTGGTCGGAGGAACTGGGGTCTTTCTCACCTTGAGATAGCTCCCTCCAAGTTCCAGTCCCTCTCTTCCCACACTTTGGGGGATACATTGTTCTTTTCTCTACTGCAGGCCGTCTTTCCTACCTCACCCCTCACCAACCTGCCCACCCACTCTTTTTCTTCAGCCCCTGACCTTGTCCAATCACCTGCTCTTCCAGGCACCGGTGACTTTCTTTGACTCCACGCCCTCAGGCCGGGTCTTGAACCGCTTTTCCTCCGATGTTGCCTGTGTAGACGACAGCCTGCCTTTCCTCCTCAACATTCTGCTGGCCAACTCCGTAGGCCTGCTGGGTCTCCTGATTGTGCTAGGTTCTGGTCTGCCCTGGTTGCTGCTGCTGCTGCCACCTCTGAGCTTCATCTACTACCGAGTGCAGCGCCGCTACAGGGCCTCCTTCCGGGAGCTGCGGCGCCTGGGCAGCCTCACCCTGTCTCCGCTCTACACCCACCTGGCTGACACCCTGGCCGGCCTCCCAGTGCTCCGGGCTGCAGGGGCCACTTACAGGTGCATCTCCCAGCTGGAATCGGGGGTGGGAGGCAAGGTAATGGGGGCGCATACAGGGCTTAGAAGTAAAGGACACTGGGAAAACGTGAAGCGTGAGAATTGGGAGAGAGTAAGGTGGAGCGTGGTGGGTATGTAGGTCAGCCTCCGGGAAGGGTGCAGGGAAGGGGTGAGATCAGCACAGCAATGGAGTGGCCTCCCTTCCTTCCTGACCTCCTCCAGATTTGAGGAGGAGAACCAGCGACTCTTGGAGCTAAACCAGAGATGCCAGTTTGCTTCCTATGCCACGATGCAGTGGCTGGACATTCGACTGCAGCTCATGGGGGCAGCGGTGGTCAGCGCCATCGCGGTCATTGCCCTGGTGCAACACCAGCAGGGCCTTGCCAACCCAGGTACCACTGTGGGACCCATTCCCCTTACTTTAGGAGCAGGTCATTCCAGATCCTTGACTCAGGCCCCCCACGTCTCCCTCCCTCATCCTGCACCGCTGTCATCTCCGACCCAGTGCCATCATCACCCTCATTTCAATGCTGAGGAATCCATGGGCAGAGGTGGATCTGGGACCAGACCAAGGCTTCTGCGATCCTCCTTCCCTTGCTCCTGTCTGCCCCACTACTCTATCCCATCCCCCTTTGTCTCCGGCCTGCCACCCCTCATAGCCTCCTTCTCCAGGTGTTCTCCAATCCTTCTCTGTCTTCTGCCTGCTCCTCTGCCTGCCCCTGTCACCTGCAATCCAGTGCTGGGATCCTCTTGCTCTCCACACTCCCTCCCACACACTTCTCAGTGTCCAGGTGTCCCCTAGCGGATGGCATTCCTCTCCCCAGGGCTGGTGGGCCTCGTGCTGTCGTATGCCTTGTCCTTGACGGGCCTGCTCTCGGGCCTGGTGAGCAGCTTCACACAGACAGAAGGCATGATGGTGAGTGTCGAGCGACTGGAGGAGTACTCTTGTGGCCTTCCCCAGGAGCCCCGAGGTCAGCCACTGCAGGTAAGTCGGCCCCTCCCCCTAGGCCAGGGTTGCTGGTCCTGGGGGGTCCTCCAGTCTTCCCAGGTCCTTTCCTTTAGCTCCCTGCTGTCGTTTCACATCACCGAGCCGCTTGGTTTGACTGCCGCCATTCTTCACTGTACCCTCATTCCCATGTCTACCCTCCCATCTGCTCCCTATTTTCTCTTTGCTATCACCCCAGCCATCTTCCTCCGTCTCCCTCCTCCCTCCTCCCACTCTGTCCTTGCCACCGTTCTTCCTTCCCTTCTTATCCACAGACACCCTACCAGCGCATCAGGTGGCTGACCCAGGGAAGTGTGGAGTTCCAGGACGTGGTGTTGGTGTATCGGCCAGGACTGCCAAATGCCCTGGACAGGGTGACCTTCCGAGTGGAGCCCGGAGAGAAGCTGGGCATCGTAGGCCGCACAGGCTCTGGCAAGTCTTCCCTGTTTTTGGTGCTCTTCCGGCTGCTGGAGCCCAGTGCAGGACGGGTGCTGCTAGACGGCGTGGACACCAGCCAACTGGAGCTGGCCGAGCTCAGGTCTGGGGCCAGGTGGTTTGGGGGGAGAGGGAGGACAGTGGGAGCTACTCTGGGAAGGTGTAAGGAAACTCAGGGCAACCAATCAGCAGCCAAGGAAGATGAGGTGGACGGTGAGGACAGGTGAGCTGTGACCCCGACTGGGTGCAGCTCCATCTTCATCTTTCCTGTACTTCCCAGAAGACACCGTCTACTCCAAACCCCAGCATTGCCTTCTAAACCCGAGCCTCTCAGGAGCTGTAGTCCAAGATGCCGTGAGCCCTCAGCCTATGTATTGGTAGCCAGTACGTGGAGTAGCTTGGGGCCTGGGTCAGTTGTACTCGGCCAAAGTGATCTATCTCATCTGAAACTGTAGATGCCCCAGCCCATACCCAGTTTACCTTAGCATCATTTTCTCCCAGTTCCATAACATGGAAGGGAGTCTCATCCTGAGCCCACAGCTCCCTGGCCTGCCTCCTCTGCCCTCTCTCAAGTCGTGGTGGTTTTTCCTTCTGGCTTGACCTAGCTCCTTGGCCTCCTCCCACTGAGAAGTGCCTCTATCCCCTCCAACTCTCTTCATTTCCTGCCTGGCCACTGCTGTCTCTGGGGTCAGTACCACAGTTCAACACAGTGTTCTCTGGTCGGCACACCTCACTAGGCCAGAGTCCAGGCCTTTCTCTCTTTGGTCCTCCTCACAGTACCAGTGCTGTCCTGGGTGTGTGGCTAACCGGTGAGCTGGTGGATAAAGGGTGGGAAGCAGAGGGAATGATATTTCTATCTCATCCCCATCTTTCCTTAGAAGTGCCAGGCCCATAGGTAAACCTGTGCCACAAGAAAGTGGACACATCTCCAGCCTGCTCCCCATGTCCTTGTTACCCAGATCCCAGCTAGCGGCCATCCCCCAGGAGCCTTTTCTGTTCAGCGGGACTGTGCGGGAGAACCTGGACCCCCAGGGCCTGCATGAGGACGGTGCCCTGTGGCAAGCCCTGGAGCAGTGCCACTTGAGTGAGGTGATCGTCACTGTGGGTGAGTCCCGGGCCCTGGCCTGAAGGGCGGACGAGAAGCCAAGGGTGGCCTCGGCAGTGGAGATTCTCTGCTTACAGGGGGTCTGGATGGAGAGCTGGGCGAGAGGGGCCGGAACTTGTCCCTGGGACAGAGGCAGCTGTTGTGTCTGGCCAGGGCTCTCCTTACAGATGCCAAGGTAAGACAAGAGAAAGACACATCCAAGAGGCGGGGATGTGTGCAGGGAGGAGGTGGGTTGGTGAGAGTTTCACGGAAAAGCGGAAGGTGGGAACTGTAGGGATGTTACAGTCTTCTTTCGCTTCCCTCCTGTTCCACGTGGTCCAGATCTTGTGCATAGATGAGGCCACGGCAAGTGTGGACCAGAAGACGGACCAGCTGCTCCAGCAAACCATCTGCAAACGCTTTGCCAACAAGACCGTACTGACTATAGCCCACAGGTGTGAGAATACTCAGGGGCAGTAGAGGCACAGGCCTCTGACCTTTGCATGGACACACACACACACACCTCCTGCCCCAGGGAGATCAGACTCCAGAGATGGCATTGGGTAGGCAGGGGATCAAAGGCCTGGGGACCTCAGCTCTTTTTCCTTCAGGTACAGCCCCAGTGCTCCTGGTAGCACATTATCTGGAAAAACACCACCATTCTTCCCATAGCCCAGACCCCAGGGACTCCAACCTGTGGGGAACAAGTCTGTGCAGTCTGGAGGGATCTGGAGGGAAATAGGGTGAGCTTTCTCTTTGTACCCCTCTCCTACCACTGACAATCTTCTCCCACACAGGCTCAACACAATCCTAAACTCTGACCGAGTGCTGGTGCTTCAAGCTGGGAGGGTGGTAGAACTGGACACGCCCTCTGCCCTTTGCAGCCAACCCCAGTCTGTGTTCCAGCAGCTCCTGCAGAGCAGCCAGCAGGGAGCCTACCCCCGCCCTGCAGGACGCTGAGCCTCCTTCCTACCAGGGTGGCTCGGTTACCTTCTCCTCTGAGCTCTACCTCTCCTCCGCTTCCCCAGATGGGAAAGGGCACCCTGGCCTCCCCGTGTAAACCACACATAGGTGGGTCAAAGGCTGAGACTTTCTCAGAACTGGTCCACCGTGGGCCTCTTCATCCAGAATTCTGGGACAGTTTTTCTTCCATAGATGCTCACTTTCATTTTTATAATTTTATTTGATAAAATTCCTATTTTACATTCTGTTTTAAAAAAATAGTATTTCTGGTATGAGGCTGAAATCCCCTGGAAGGGTGGACCAAAGCTGAGGGCTGGTGAAAAAGGACCTCCAGTCTGAGATGTGAAGGAGACAAGGAAGGGGGCCAAGAAGCCCCTGCCTCCATCACAATGCTGTGGTCTTGCCAGGCTCAGGGGGCAGGTCTGGTGGCAGAGGGAACCCTGCTGGCAGTATGCTGACCTGGCACTCCTGGTCCTGCCGAGCTGGGGCATAGTGTGGGGCTGGGTAGCAACAGGGTCCAGTGGGGCAGATGCCCCGGCGCCATGCCCTCAAGGTCAGCAACACAGTGGCCAGGACCAGGGCAGCAGTGAGGGACCCAAACACCACCAGGGCCACCAGGCTAGACTCACCTAGCCCAGCCTCTTGCTTCCGCACCACCTCCTTCACTGAGATCCTCAGGAGGCCTGCCCCTGCACTGTGGGGGGCAGGCCCTGTAGCCGGCACAAATACAGCTGAGGTGGGTGTTTGTGGGATGCCCATTGTGACAGGGGCTGGAGCACGTAAGACAAGCTCACAAGTCTTGCCACCATAGCCACTGGGGCAAAGGCAGTCAAAGTCATGGATGCGATCCCGGCAGCGAGCCCCTCTCTGGCATGGGCGGCTGGCACAATCATCTAGGTTGATCGTGCAGAATCGTCCAGCAAAGCCCTCAGGACAGAGGCAGGAAAAGCGGTTTATGCCATCAATACATGTGGCACCATTAGCACAAGGACGCATCAGGCAGTCATCCACATTCACCTCACAGTGGGCACCCATGAATCCTGCCAAGCAGCGGCATGTGAAGTTGAGGGCAAAACCCTGGTTGTCCTGGCACTGCCCGCCATTCCGGCATGGGGAGCTAAGGTGAGAGAGAACATTGGTATCAACTTGCCAGTCAGTGTCCTGACCACTGATGCCCCCTTTCTTGCTGTGTCACCTTGGGCTGCTCCTTTTGAGTTTCAAATAACCTTATTTTTAAAATGTGAATAAAAATAGCCAGATCGGCTAAATGAGAGAACCCAAGCAGTCAGCACACACGCGGTCAGGCCCAAAGTCAAGGCTCAGAGAAGCGCTCTATGTCATCTCCACAGGCTCTTAGGCCTGCAGCGGAAATGGGGCAAGTCCAGCCCTGTGGCCGTTTCATAATCCACATAGGAAGAGCCAGCTCTTAAGGTTGCATGTCTGCTTTTGTGAGGAAGGACAGGAAATCCTAGGAGCCTCCCTCCCTGTGCCACCCTCCTCACCATTTGTGGTGAAGAAAGCTTAGAATCTGGAGGGCTGGAGAGTTGGCTCAGTGGTTAAGAGCACTTCTTGTTGCAGAGAACCTGGGTTTGATTCCCCAAACCCTCGTGGAGGCCCACCACCTCCTTGGGCACCAAACACAAATGTGGTACAGACATCTATGCAGGCAAAACACTCATAACAGAAAACAGAAAATAAAAGGTTGAGAATCTGAACCTGGCACATGTCACCCTGGGGTTTTTATCCTGAGGTGTCCTGGTGTGAGTCTGATTCTGTCTCCTGCTCTACTGACAGCCCTGCCTTTTTCCACACTGCCAGATTCTAGTCCAGCTTCCTCAGGGTCCCAGCAACTCACCCTGCCTGCTCACAGGGTCCAGCCTTGCGCTCACAGCCACGTCCGTGGAAGCCTGGCAGGCACACACAGTGGTACTCACCGCCCCCGTCATACACACACTGGCCTCCATTCTGGCAGGGTGACTGTGAGGTACAGATGTGCTCATCTAAAGAGATAAGGAGAGTGGGATAGCCCCTCATATTTGGTCTCCAGAACCCTTGTGGACCAGATCATATTTCAGACCTGCCCCTGCCAGTATGGTATACAGGGGAAGGCTATGCTGAAGTAGGGTTCTGGAAGTTCCTGGCCTCAGCTCTGGCAGTCTGGGTCAAACTGACTTCAGACAAGTCACAGCTCTTGTGTGGACTGTAGTTTCATGTTTAAACTGGGTACAACTTTTTAGCAGCTGTCTTTCCAACAGCATGAGTTGATGTTGAGGATCCTTTCAGACTTCAAGTAGGAATGACACCAATAAGGATGGTCAAATCAATGAGACTTTGAACAAGACACAATATGTACTAATAGTAAATATTAATGGTTGTTCTAGAGCACATGGGCTCTATAGCCAATAGCCCCTCTACCCTACCTTTGTCACAGAACTTTCCTGCCCAGCCACTGTGGCAGATGCACTGCCACGGCTGGTGGCAGGTACCGTGCTGGCAGCCAGGCATCCTCACACAGCGTTCACAATGCAGCCCCTCCCAGCCTGGGTCACACCTAGTGGGAGAAAACACAGGCTCAGGACGTGTGTGTGTGTGTGTGTGTGTGTGTGTGTGTGTGTGTGTATGTGTGCTGGAGCTTCTGGAACTAGTTGGGCAGACAACAGTCCTAAAGGGAAAGCAGACCAGTCCGGGTAGGTGGAGGGCTGTGCAGACACAAGCATCAGACAGACAACATCAAACTCAGCATCTACATTTTTTCTAGCTTCTCATAATCTGTTTTCTCACATGGAGGTGAGAAAACACCTTCCTTGAAGGGTATTGTTAAAGAAACAAATCAGTGTCTGTAGAGGCCACTGGTGCCCTCCCTGGAGTGTCTAATTATACACATTTGAAGGAGGTCACTAGGATCCTCTTCCCTTGGACTTCAGAACAAATGGCTGCTGTTTGTTTTGCTTTGCTTTTATCAGAGTCTCAAGTAGACAAGGCTAGCCTGGAATCCTGACCTTCCTGGCCTCATTTCACAATCACTAGGACTTTTGTTGTTGTTTTTGTTTTTTCAAGACAGGGTTTCTCTGGCTGCCCTGGAACTCTGCCTCTGTAGACCAGGCGGGCCTTGAACTCAGATCCACCTGCCTCGGCTGGGGTTAAAGGCAATCACCACCATTGCCAAGTGACTTAGTTTTTTACAAGCCCTCAAGGATGTCTGGTTTCAAGCCTCCAGCACGGGAGCCCCATGTAACAACCTGCCTTTTTCATCTCACTTCTTGTGTCCAAACTCTTTTCTGCCACAGAATTTGCCTAGTCTGCCCTGGTGAGTCAATTGCAAGATACGCTAAGAAAGCACCCATCCCCACTGCAGCTTTTTTTCCAAAGCAGAACTTCTCTTTATATCCCCCTTTTATGTGGCTCTGTCTCTAAACTCCTAACCTTCAGGCGCCTTTACCGGCGTCATCAGGGACAGAAACCCTTGAGAGAATAAAAGCACAGATAATCCAAGCTCTCCAGTAAGAGGTAAAATGAGCTAAGGGGAGGGGAGAAAGGGGAATGGGGACAGGTCATCCTGTTGTCTGAAAACAAACAATAGGGTGTTAAACTCCTAGACACCGTTTTGAGTTTTTGACCTGCTCATGGGTGTGGAGGATCGAAAAGTGGGGAGCAAAGGATCTGAGACACGTGTACAACAGAAGTACCTGCAGGAGCCGTCAGGAGCGCAGCAGCCGTGGGCCAGGTCACAGTGGGAGCTGCAGTCATCCGCTGAAAGAGATTGATGTAGTACGCGTGAGTCTGAATCAGGGTCTGCCTTCCTGGGACGTGGGACTTGGTAGAAGTTTCCGCTGTTAGATGGACTCAGCTCTGGGCATGGCAACACCGACAGGCGTCCTATTCCAAAGGGATAGGACTCTGGCCAGATGGAATGGGGCGGCTGCAGTGCCGTCTCTAGCCAGCAGAGGTCAACTTGCCAGCGAGGACGGCTGAACAGGGCCGCGACCCGAACCCTGGGGCGCGCTCTCTCACCTCTGGCAGGCTGGCTGGTTGCCCCCAGGATGCACAGCAGGCACATGAGATGTAGGCAGCGGCAGCCGCTGGGCATGGTCAGTTCCGGCCCCAGGAGGGACGGATGGATGAACGGCCAGACGTGTAGACACCTGTGGGATGGCACTGGCTAGGAGGCGGCCAGACTGAGATAGCGGTACTGATACCGGTTCCAAGTGACAGGAGCCGGAGAAGGAGAGGGACTCAACGGTCGAAGACCGGGGTGGGAAGCAAAAGGGCGGAGGCGAGGAATGGATGAGCAGACGAAGGGACTGGAGACAGAACCCACTAGCCAGGTCTGAGAGAAAGAGGCCAAAGATGGGCAGCGGCGAGCGTGGCCACGGCGTGGGAATGGCCAGGGTTGGAATCACGGTCCAGGTGGAGGGGTCGCAGGGATAAAGACAGCGCTGAGAGGTCAGAGCGACACGGCCTGGGGGCCGGAGGGAAAAAGGATCGGCTCCCAGTTCCCAGCCGCAAGCGGTCTCCGCCAGGGTCCTCCGACACCTACCCACCCACCCAGGCCTGGCTCTCACCCACCCTACTCGCTCCACGGCGCTCGGGCCTGGGGTCCCCACAGAGCGCCCGTGTCCTCCTGGCTTCTCACCTCCGGCTGGGAGGCGACCGGTCCCCAGGGCGCAGAGTCAAGCGGGATCCGACGGGCTGAGCCGGGGGGCCGCCCCTAGCTGGCCGTGGGGCTCGGCGCCGAGGTGGCTGCCATGCCAGCCGAG